CTTCCTCTTCCTCCTCCTCCTCTTCCTCTTCCTCTTCCTCCTCCACCCTCTTCCCTCCTCCTCCTCATCCTCAGGCCTAAAAAAAGACGTTTGTTTCCGCTAACCCGACCGAGTCCATTTTAAACCCCCGTGTCAAAACCTTTTATTTTGATTGGCAAAAAACAAAAATGTTAATTTAAAGCGATCATTGCGAGTTTTTTTCAGCGTTTTTCAGTGTTTATTCTCACTCTCATGATGCCTACCGTTGTTGCTTGTTTAACAGTAATTGTTTGAAATAACAATAAAATGTCTTAGAACCTCATGCAAAGACAAAATCATGCACGATTACAATTTTGCGTTCTCTTGTCGATTTTCGCTGTCATGTCTCGCACTTTCTCGCGGTACCGCGAGACGTCAACAAGGGTGCAGTAATGCAAAAATTGCACCGGAGATATTTTTGGTCAGATGTAAACACAGAGGTCCATAGTATTAGTAGCGTAACGCAAACAGGAGTGTACGGTAAGTTGTAACCTCATAAATATTAGTCTTCAAAAGTCCTAGGGACTATAACGAAGACGGAGAGAGAAGTGGATCAAATCGATATACCAACACTGCGGATTATCACACACAAATAGATGCCCCTTTGTTTTAATTATGTTCGCTTGTTTGAGACGCCATTTGTGATTTTTGAAAGTCGTGACACGAAAAAATTTATTGCTGGTATGATGTGGTCAAATCAATTTTTCTATGCTATAACTGCATAAAATCTTGGTGTTTTGAATGTTGGTGTAATCGGTGATATTTTCGCTGTCAGGCGAGACTATATTCAGCTATATTTAGTTTTTGTGAGCAAAATTCTCGCAATACTTGTTTAAAAAAAAAAAAATTAAATCCCAACGTCATATCGATCGGTGAATGCATTGATTTGACTTTGAAGTCATTATATGGGCTGTTATAAGTATAAAACACGTATTGTTACAATACCAAAAAAAAAAAATTAGAAAAAAAAAGTTTTGCCTGCCTACCGTGTCCAATTTTTTTCAGCTCGTTAGCGAAACAAATGTTTTTTTCTTAGGCCTCATCCTCTTCATCCTCATCCTCATCCTCTTCATTCTCATCATCCTCCTCATCCTCCTCATCCTTATCCTCCTCATCCTTATCCTCCTCATCCTCATCCTCCTCATCCTCATCCTCATCCTCATCCTCATCCTCATCCTCCTCTTCTTATTTTGTTTACCAATACTAATGGAATTAGTCTAGCGGTTCTATTAAAACTGTCCTAATTTATTCCTAATTTGCAGTGCATGAACTCAGTCATACAAGACACAAAGAAATCAGGACCCGGTGGACCTGATGCAGTCTTAACAGATGCGCTGAAGCCACCGGCAAGTTCTGTAACTGATGAAGATCGACCACATTTCCCTGGATCTAGATCCAGTTGGACTGAGAAGCTGGAGTTTGTTGAGCCGACCCTTTACGATGGAGTTCCTGTTTATAGAGTTCTGAATAGGGAAGGTGGCATTTTAGATTCTACCCAGGATCCGAATGTAAGCATATATCATAAATGTCTCTGGTATAAACAGCATAATCTATATATCACCGATCTGTATCTAGTCACGCGTGATCCTTTTGCAACTTACTGAGCCCTGTCGTTAATCGTTTGTAAATAGACTCATTATTATTAAAGGGACAGTAGCCTCTAGGATTTTACTGCATACAACTGTACTTACTGTATAACAAATCGTCTATACCCACACGTATTTGTTACCAGATACCTAATTTAATTGTTATAATTAATTACACATCAACGCTACGAAATTTGAACGTAGCCATGACACCCGCGACCGTGCTGCCACCCTAAAAAAGTTGCGTATCTGACAATTTATTTTGCACGTTACAGACCGAGGGCTAATCACAAAAGTGCAATTATATTTATACCTAAATGCTATTTAACCAAACGATATTCATTTTAGGGCAAATTTATCCATATTATAACTGAAACTATATGTCGTTTATAAGAGATTACAATCCTTTTGCTTTTAAATGAATAAGTAAGAAACACCCTCGGTCTGTAGCCCTTGGCTGGAAAGTGGTTTTGCGCAACTTATCAGATCGTGCGCTTTGAGTGGCGCCACCGTCGTTGTAATCAAACTGTAGTCGTTAGTTTTAAAACATTTTTTTTAAATATTTATAATGGTGATTGAACCATGAAACTTTTTATGTAGCGTAATTATAACCTAAATTAGCTGAAAATAACCCTAGAACCTAGAGTAAACTCTCCCTTTAATGGTTCTTGTTGCAATGGTGAATTTGTATCAATTTGTTAGAAAAACGAGCAAATTATCTCCCCGGTTTGTTAGTTTACGATAATGATTTATAGAAAAATAACGCTGGAAAATTGTTGAGCCTTGTACACTCTTTGAAGGCTAGTTGGTCAGTATGAGAATATTCATTGCTAAAATAAGTGCTCTTCCACCTCTCTGCACATCTGCTAGTCACGATTTGTGTGCAGAGAGGTTTCCATTACCGTCCTCGATGGCACAACATTGCTGCAATTTGGTGCAAATGTACAGTCGCATGATCATGTAATGCAGTGTCATCGTATCACATGGTGGCAAGGTCATGTACAGCTGAGTATGTCAGCCCACCTTACCCCCAGATCTTCTCTACTATTGTCCATTGGCGGCCTCTCATACTCATCATGTAGCTTTTAAGCACTGTAACGTACAACACTACAATCACCTAAAGTTAACGTTTTGGGACTCATATTTTCAGTTGTCAGAGGAGACAGTGCTTAAAATGTACCACTCCATGACACTGCTCAATACGATGGATCGAGTGCTGTATGACTCCCAAAGACAGGTAGGCTAACATCTCTGTGTGTGCCTGCATGCGTGCGTGTTTACTTGCCTGTATGCGTGCCAACGTGCGTGAGTGTGCGCGTGCATGCATGCGGGTGTGTGTGCAGGCTGTTTGTTTCTTAAGTGTCCATTTGAAATTTGTGGTAATTGCTGTTCTAGTTTCCTAATACGCTGCCTAAAATTTTAAGTAGATCTAGAGGAAACAATGTCTTTATAAAAATTTGTAGTCTGATAATGCATCGATCCATAAGTCAGCATAATGAAGATTGTATAACTATTGTTGATATACCTGTAGTTGCCTATCATAATGCAATTTTATACAAACGTTTTTATAGTTATGCTATTATTATATATGATCATTTGAAGCAAATTCCTGTCAATATGCAAAGTAAATTAATTGGATTTAGAAGAAGAAAGTGAGTTAAAATAATATCATTATTTTGTCTTTGTCAGGGAAGAATATCATTTTACATGACTAACTATGGAGAGGAGGGTACCCATATAGGATCAGCAGCAGCACTTGATCTGAAGGATCTTGTCTTTGGACAGTACAGAGAGGCAGGTAAGTATTGAGAAGCAGTAAGCAGTTTGTGCAAATATTCACCATACCTAGAAGATTAGTTGCCAAATGTATTAAATGGCACTGTTATATCAGGAGTACATGATATAAAGATGAGTATGACTCATTCAAAATGTGAAAATTAAAGATTTGCATGGCTGAGTTTACCTGTAAGTTATTGCATTAAATATAAAAATTCATAAAAGTCAATAATGTCAAAACCTCCAACTTGCACTCACACGTCTGTTATCATAGAGATATAGCTTCAGACAGCAATCATGGTTTTCCTTGTGCCTAGTGTTGTGGTAAGCAGTCCAATGCAATGGAGTAACACAGTAGGTGATGACTAATACTCTTGACGGGGTTAAGCAGGGATGCCCAGAACAAATGTTCATGAAATACAACATAAATATACAAAAGCTTATTTTTTGCTTTGGTAGTTTGATTAGCTAGCTCTTGTTACAAATTATTTTATGTTATTTGTATATATGTCACACGTCATCTTGTTATCTGCACGCCCAGCATTGGTGCAGGTCAGATCAAGTGGTCAGGCCACTACTAATCTGTAAATATCACTAGTGGAGGTGGGCAAGAAATTCTGAGTTGCATCCCTACAGCCCCATAAACTACATTAGTTATCTCCATCTGTTCAATAGCACTGTATAGGAATGCTCTTTGAAACACTCAGGAAATAACAAAAACCACGTTTGACATTCGAAGCTATATCTATATAATAGGAAAGATGTAGATACAAAGTAAAGTAAGTGTAAGTTGGATGTACAATGCTATATTTTATGTAAACAGTGTTTGAGCTTCACATAATAAATCATAGGTAAATGAAGACATACAGATGTTGAATTTTTATGTTTTCAAGCGATTGATACTCTTTTCTATATCGCATACTGATTATATATGATATCAGAAGAAGATAATAGGGAAGGAGTGTGACTTCAATAAACAAGGGAAATTCGTCATTTACTAGCCTTAGAATACCTACGATTTACTACGCGTAACTCAACCAACTTGAGCTCAATTCATACACAGTGCATTAGCCTAGCATCGTGCGAAATTGTTTCCTCATATACACCCGCAATCCGGAGATACAGACTAAAACATACGACACGATTCTCCATTCTGTTGCCAGCAAACCGAATTCATAACCCGCCTAACTTGAAACAATAGGCAGCTACTGCGATGCGGTGTGGCTCGCTGGGAGATTGGACATCGACGCAACACTGGGCGAGCTAATCTTTGACCTATTTACAGCTGGTATGCCCCCCACGCACGCACGCCCACCGCAATCAGCAGCAGCTCCAGCTCGAATCGTAGGTATTCTAAGGCTAGTAAATGACGAAGTTCCCATGTTTATTGAAGTCACACTCCTTCCCTATTATCTACTTCTGATGATATCAAGAGATATAATACTGTAATATACATGAGAATTAGACCTGTTAAATTATGTGAAATCCAACATTTACTTTCCTAGGCTTGTTTTGCTAGGGTCGTAATAACACAAGTCAAATTTGAGAGTAGGTTATGGTTCACTTGACTTTAAACATCGAAAAGGTGTGAAGAGAATCCTCTCTGAGGCTCAGCCCCCAAATAAAAATCAATAAAATAATGTAATTAATAAAAAAAATCAAAGCGCAAGATGAAGGTTCAATTCAACTATTAAATCTTCCTCATGTAAATTCTACATTGCAACATAGATATGAATACTACAGGCATTTTTATGTACGTGTTTCATGTGATTTATACATTTGTACCTGTTTACCTAATAGATTTTACTACTTGTAGGCATTCTCATGTGGCGTGAATTCCCAATGGAGCAGTTCATGAACCAATGCTACGGCAACAGCGCAGATTGGGGCAAGGGTCGACAGATGCCAGTACACTATGGGTCCACCGAACATCATTTTGTAACTATCAGCTCACCATTGGCGACACAGATGCCACAAGGTTCGGCATCATGCTTAATCGCAACCTCACAAACCACACATGTCAACCTCGCTTAATTCATATCAGACGGGACCACAAATTAGACTTAAACTGTGTATTGCGAGTTTTTTGGCTCAGAAAAACTAAATATAGCTGAATATATTCTCACCTGACAGTGGAAATATCACTGATTATACCAACATTCAAAACACCAAGATTTTATGCAGTTATAGCATAGAAAAATTGATTTGACCAGCAATAAATGTTATCACGTCCCGACTCTCAAAATCACAAATGGCATCTTTAAACAAGTGCACATAATTAAAACAAAAGGGCATGCAATTCTGTTTGGTAAATATTATTGAGTTTTTATGTCAATAATTCAGAGCACTTTCTGTCATTGTCATTCCCATGTTACTATCTGACTGGCAATCCAGAAGCTTCTCTAATAACAGACTTTACGTGGCATTAGTACTACACTGCTGTTACGCTAGTATGAACGTCTGTGTTTACACTCTGACCTGATTTCTACGGTGCGACGGTATGCACTACTGCACCGTGATAGATGTCTCGCGCTACCGCGAGAAAGTCCGAGAGATGGCAACGGTAAACAGAAACAGAACGCAAAATTGTAATCATGCATGATTTCATTGGATTTGGTGAATACGAAGGTTCTAAGACATTTTATCGTTACTCTAGACAATTGCTGTTACTCAAGCAATAACAGTAGGTATCATGAATGTGGGGAAAATACTGGAAAATTCTCGCAATACACGCTTTAATTCGTATTTTCCACAAATTCTATTTAATCCGTAGAAATCACGAAATATATAGACTTTTGCGATGCGATGAGACTGTTTCCACGCGAGCTGAAAAAAACAATGCGTCCAAGCGAACAATGCGAATGAAACAATCAGTGCACACAACAACTCATGTAAACTCAGTTGCGCGATCGGGACTTTGACTTCCATGACGACTTATGCGAATTGATGAGTTAGACGATGACGACTTATGCGAGTATTACTATTCTCAAAGATAAAATGTTGCTTGCATAAACAAACCTCCCCTACGAATTACGCGTGTCATTTTGAATTGAATAATGTTAATTGGACCAGAGAATTTTGTACGAATTACGAATTACAGAATACGAATTATACAACGGGAATTAAGGGGAATAAAGAAGAGAAATATTGGGACCACATGTTTTTGTACGGATTAGGTCATTCTAAAAAAAAAGTGATGACGAATTAAGTGAGGTTGACTGTATTATTTTATATTTTCCAAATTCCAACCGTGTGATAATGTCTATGGTCTATAGTTCATGAAATAGGCTTTGTAGATAATATGATATATGGCCCTTGTAATTCTTATAATGGCCTGCCAGAGACAATTAACATTGTTGTAGTGAATCCAGGCTGCATCATTATTTTGGTTATTAAGAGTATGTGTCAGCCAGTGGAAATTATCTCTAAACTGGAACTTGTTTTGAATTTTTTGGTATAGTTGTCCTTTATAATGTCACATTGTACAGCATGGTCTAGTAACGTACAGTGAAACACGGTTGTTGATAGATTGACTAAGTATTTTTAACCATTCCATTTTACATAACATCCGCCACTTTGTACTAATTGATTGCTTTCTTCGTTTATGTGAAATTATGTTGTAGTATTTGACACATAATTAATACACTAATTATAGTTTCACCTAATTTGAAATCTGTCTGAACTCCAGATTGTGTTCAATCTTTGTGTAACATTGACTTCCAGCTGTTGGTGCAGCGTATGCTTACAAGCGAGCAAGGAACGGTCAGTGCGTTATCACATACTTCGGTGATGGTGCATCCAGCGAGGGAGACGCTCACGCGGCATTCAATTTTGCTGCGACCCTTGATTGCCCAGTTATCTTCTTTTGGTAAGTTCTTAGGTTAGTGGGCTGACCTGCATGTACAGAATCAAATATCTGCATGTCTGTGACAACTAACCCAAATGAGTAGTGTTTTGTATAACCTGAGAATGTAATACATTGACTGAGCTGAGCATATAGTGCTACAATCAACCAGAGTGTAAAGATTTGGCTAACGTACGTCGTACGCATATTATGCTTTCATGTCTCACTGTTACACAGAAACAACATAATTAAGTAATGTTTGAAATTTTCTGTGGTCTCTATGTGTGTACATTTGCATAAGGCCAACTTCAAAATATTTCTACTTGCTGTAAGACAGATGATCTGACACAAGTATAGCGAATGGGAAAAAAAGATCTAAATTTGTTAATCTTCTTATTGATAACTACTTATTAACATGTATCATCATCTGATTTGACATGTGGTCGCATGGTCAAGTTTATCAATCATTTGTACACTTTCTATTGTGATTGTAAGTGTGTTAACTTGTGTTTTTCTTGCTAATTATATGTAGCTGTAGGGAGCATGTGCGTGGTAGGAGTGGAATAATAGATGGCAAACATAACAGATAGTTTCACTGCTCGTAAAAGAAAATGTGTGCCATCTATTTCTCATCAATGATCGTTCTCTCATTTTGTGATATTTGCAGCAGAAACAATGGCTATGCAATCTCAACACCAACCTCAGAGCAATACAGAGGTGATGGAATCGGTAAGGGATAATATTTTTAAAGTTCAATTTGTCTATTCAATGTATATTATTGTTCAATGTATATCGTATTAGAAAAGGACATTTTACTGACAAAAACTAGTTCTTTTTGCTCATGCTTGGCCAGAGTACCATATATACATCCACTTTGTTTATTCTCAGCCCCTGAGAATATTGGGTTAGTTGAGTGTAGATCACATGTGCAATAGATGACCTAACTAATCTGAGAATCACTGAACAATGTTTTGAATAGTTTTACATGGTATGTGGTATCAGATTAGTATACTATAAGCCAGTGCACTAAACTTGTTGAGTGGATGAGACAACATTACTATCATAGCTGTTAATTATTACTACATCTACCAATGTCATGGACACCTCAGATATTATATCAGCTATATCAGATACATCACTTATCACTTAGTTGCCTATGCATATCACCTGTGTTACCTATTCTATATGACATATGTTGTTATATAACATGTACATACATCTCAGCCCTCTTTGCCACCAGTAGCGAAGACCCTACTCTGTTTATTTTGCAGCATGCCGAGGTCCTGGTTATGGTATGCGAGCCATCAGAGTCGATGGCAATGACGTATTTGCAGTTTACAACGTCACTAAGGCAGCCAGAGAGATGTGTCTGGCTGAGATGAGACCAGTGCTTATTGAAGCAATGACATACAGGTATGGAGGAATTGCATAAAGCCACCGGTTTCTGGTTTCACTTTTATGGGACGAAAACAAATAATACATGCTCCAAGAACATGACTGTGATCTGCGTACCCTGGTGGTAGATGTTTTAGGACTTGGGAACGTTTTGGTAGTTTTTCAAAAGCCTTTGTAGCTGTAGCATTCAAAGAATCAATACAAGATATAGCTAAAACGAAATAGACAAAGTCATGACTGCAGAATACAACTATTCACTGATAATTATCTGATTACACAATAACTCGCTTCATACCCTGGTGTTTAGTGCCTTCATTCCTTCATGGTACACTGTGCTTGCAGAATCGGTCATCACAGCACATCCGACGATAGCTCTGCATACCGGTCAGTCGATGAGGTGCGCTACTGGGACAAGCACGATCACCCCATCGGACGACTTCGCAAGTACATGGTAAAGAGAGGCTGGTGGGATGACAAGAAGGAACAGGCATGGATGAAGGAATCAAAACAGATGGTGAGTGTTGTGCAAATCCACGGATGCCACCTGTTTCTAATTACCTCCCCCCGCGTGTCTTTGAGTGTTGGTTTGTGTGTTTGTGGGTTTGTGTGTTTGTTACCATGCACGTTTCAGTTCACTTCCGCTAGGTGCGCTGGCTGTAGACTTACAAACACGCAACCACAGGCTAAGGGGCAACCACAGTCCTCCCCCACCTGCACGCTCGCACTAATCCGGATCCAATTAATTATTTAATTAATTAATTAATTTTTCCACTTAAAATTAATTAATAAAAAATTTCACATTGAGAGAATTCAGCTGCCTTGGCGCAGGTCTGTGCTCTCCGAGTGCTCTAGTTGTAGTATATGTTAGTCTGTTATTTGTCTGTTTTCTTCTTTTTACCTTATTTACTATTCTTCTTTATCATGCAGAATAGGCACAATCTTCTCCAAGAACTTTAATTTTGTATCGGTGCCAATCCTAGGTGATTTTTCTCAGTCTTCTCTCTAGCTCTGTAGTTAACTCTATTCTCATTTGTTTTTTCTCTCTTTCTCTACCTGCTCTCTTTCCCCTCCCTCTCTCTCTCTCTCTCTCTCTCTCTCTCTCTCTCTCTCTCTCTCTCTCTCTCTCTCTCTCTCTCTCTCTCTCTCTCTCTCTTTCAGTCTCTCTGGCTTTTTCGTTCAATCTCTTTCTACCTTGCTCTCTCTCTCTTTCTTTTATTTTATGTACTCCATCTTAGTATCACGTAAATATTCTCGGACTGCTGTCGTAGACATCTGGGTCAATATATGTGGTGCCCTTGTATTGCCGCCAAAATTGTTATCTCAAAATAATCAAGAGTGCTGATTGACTGGTACGTGGCACTGCATATAACGCAGCATGTGCATGTAGCTGTCCATTATAGGTCAGTCTAGAGCACACTCAGAACGTCTGTGTGTTTCAGCCACATAAATATAATCTCATAACCTCTCACAATACATTCTGATTGGAAAGTGGTGGAAAATGTTTTCCTTACCCACCAATCTGCCCCACAAATGCTGGCCCTGGTTATCGTAAACAAGAGATATGTAATATAATGTGTCGCGGGTGACGCAGCCATTAACTGACGCTTTAACTGATATCGTTGCAGATCCTAACGGCATTCGCACAAGCTGAAAAACTGAAGAAGCCACCGATCACAGAATCCTTTAAGGATGTCTATGCTGAGATGCCTCCACACATACGGCGCCAGATGAACGAGGTGAAGCAACACATAGCCAAGTACAAAGACCATTATCCTATCGAGAATTTCGAGGAATGGAAAGAATGAGAAAAGGGAGCGAAATAAAGATCTGAAGGAGAAAGATTGTATGGACAGGCATATTGGTGCAGGCAGTGGGCAGCCAAATACTAGTAGTTATGTAAAGTTCCGATCGTTGTCTGATTAGTGTAAAAAAGAGAAAGCTATTCGATCATAAGACGCAGACTTTTTCAAACTGATGATAAGAGCAAGGAGAGTCAATAAAAAGAATTTACTGATATACTGCATGAACAGAGTAGAGAGAAGCCAAGCGTGTAGGTAGTGAGTATGTACGCCGATCTAGTGTCTACTCGATATATACCGTTGATAGAGGCAGCTGGGTTGCAGGTGAAGAAGATGAACAATACAGTGGATTGGAAATGGGCTCGAATCAGTACACTCAAAGCTCAGTCACAATTTTTTTTTCACTTATTGCATAATCACTATTTTTCAATTTACTATTTGGCAGTGATTGTTTTAAAGGAAGGACGAATCTGACGCGAATGTGCCTTTGTCTATATCATACGGGTTATTGCACATATTGAGTGTGATGATAGTTTTAAACACAGGCAGTAACATCAGGCTGCCAGAAGGTAAAGTTGCACCTGTTCTGAAATCATACATGCAGGATTTGTAAACAAGTAATCATTATAGGTTTGCCTAACATGTATTATTTGTAGTAATAATCATGCTGTAGCATTATTACTTTGTTATAGTGGTGGCTGATTAATGCTTTTGATTGTAATATAGAGCATTAGTTTATTAATAAATTGCAGCAATGCTCAGACATCTAAGACACACTAGGTACGTGTTTATCCTGATGGTTACATTTGCTGTTACCGTTACGTTTGTCGTGCCCTACTAATTCAACCATGCAATTATATAATAAGTGCAGCTATCCTAGTGTCTGGACGTTTAGGGGTAGGGTTAGGGTTTCTAACAACTGCCTTTACATTGCGAAAGACAGCGTACTTGTAAATGCCAGTCACCTATAAATGGCAGAAATGGTTGATGAACAAACATGTGGAAGAATATTCTGAACCTTGTGTTCACCTCTTCTCTGGTTTTCATCAAGTTCCAACTGTCCCAGTTATCAGTGACCACGCAGTCCATGTGAAATACAAGTATGATGTCAATAAAAACCAAAAAAACATGCCATATATATGTATGGAAAAGCAGATGCCCTGAGGCTGAACTTTCGGCATTCAAGGGTTGCTTAATAATAGAGGCATAAGTGATCATTTTATTTAAAAAAACGTATTAAGTTATTACAGTTATTATAGTTGGCACTGTAATTGACAAAAACATACCAAAACGTCCAATAATGCACAATACATCACCGTTAAAATCAGAAGCATGATGAAGAAAGCGGCCCGAAGGTGGAGCAGGGGCAAAAATCTAATTCAAACATTAATGAGGAGTAACGAAGTGACCCAGGAAGAAATCACGATTGAAATAATATCAGAATATCATGAATACTTGAATAATGCTGGTTCATGAAAGCCAATCACCTTCCTGATGTGGAGAGCATATTCATTACAATACCTGGAAGTACGAAAAGCTCTTAGCTCCAATGGTCACGCCCTGGGTTCCGCGCTATGCCTACATTAAGGAACAGGAATATGGCGCTCGCACGTCGATCACCGTGACTGTCAAGAGAATTATCTTTGGCCGTTCTTATACGTTCGAAGTGGAGCCGGGCAGGCCGGCAGCAGGTGTGCTTGGTAAAATCCGATCTACAATACTTTGCTCGCAGCATCACGCCCTGGGTTCCCCGCTATGCTAATGTACATGTAAAAGGCGCTGTACGACGGTCACCGTTGACTGCCAAGAGAAATTTCTTCGGCCTTTCTTATACGTTCAAAGTGGAGCCAGGCTGACAGCACGTGTGCTTAGGAATATCCGACCTATAATATTCACTTTGCTCGCAGCCTCACGCCCTGGGTTCCCCGTTATGCTAATGTACATGAAAAAGGTGCTCGTGCGTCGGTCACCGTTGACTGTCAAGAGGATTTTTTTCGGTCGTTCTTATGCGTTTAAAGTATAGAGCCAGGCAGACTGACAGCACTTGTCCTTTGTAAAATTCGATGTAGAATATCAACTTTGCTCGCAGCCTCACGCCCTGGGTTTCCCGCTATGCTAGTGTACATGACAAAGGTGCTCGCGCGTCGGTCACCATTGACTGCCAAGAGAATTTTTCTCGGCCGTTCTTATACATTCAAAGTCGAGCCAGACGGGCCACGTTGAGCACGTGTGCTTGGTAAAATCCGATGTAAAATATTTACTTTGTTTGCAGCATCACGCCCTGAGTTCCCCGCTATGCTATTGTACATGGAAAAGGCGCTCTGACGTCGGCCGCCGTTTACTGCCAAGAGAATTTCCGTCGGCGGTTTTTATACGTTCAAAGTGGAACCAGGCGGGCTGACAGCACGTGTGCTTGGTAAAATTCGATGTAGAATCTAAACTTTGTTCGCAGCACAACGCCCTGGGTTCCCCGCAATGTCGTTATTAATGTAAAGATAGATGGCACTCGTGCGTCGGTCACCGTTGACTGCCAAGAGAATGTTCTTCGGCCGTTCTAATATGTTTAAAGTGGAGCCGGGCCGGCCGACAGCACTAGTGCTTGGTAAAATCCGATCTATAATATATTTACTTTGCTCGCAGCATCACGCCCTGGGTTTCCCGCTACGATAATGTATATGTACATGTAAAAGACCCTCGTACGTCGGTCACCGTTGACTGCCAAGATAATTTTCTTCGCCCGTTCTAATACGTTTAAAGTGGAGCCGGGCCGGCCGACGGCACTAGGGCTTGGTAAAATCCAATGTAAAATATTCACTTTGCTCGCAGCATTACGCCCTGGGTTCGCCGCTATGCTATTGAACATGAAAAAGGGCGCTCCGACGTCGGCCGCCGTTCAATGCCAAGAGAATTTCCGTCGGCCGTTCTTATACGTTTAAAGTGGAGCCAGGCGGGCCGACAGCACGTGTCCTTGGTAAAATCCGATCTATAATATTCACTTTGCTCGCAGCATCACGCCCTGGGTTCCCCGCTATGCTAATGTACATGAAAAAGGTGCTCGTACGACGGTAACCGTTGACTGCCAAGAGAAACTTCTTCGACCTTTCTTATACGTTCAAAGTGGAGCCAGTCGGGCCGACAGCACAAGTGCTTTGTAAAATCGAATCTGTAATAATCACTTTCTTCGCAGCATAACGCCCTGGGTTCCCCGCAATGTCGCTATTAATGTATAGATAGATGGCACTCGTGCGTCGGTCACCGTTGACTGCTAACAGAATTTTCTTCGGTCGTTCTTATACGTTTTAAGTAGAACCAGGCGGGCTGACATGACGTGTGCTTGGTAAAATTCGATGTAGAATATAAACTTTGCTTGCAGCATCACATCCTGAGGTCCCCGCTATGCTAATGTACATGAAAAAGGTGCTCGTACAACGGTAACCGTTGACTGCCAAGAGAAACGTCTTCGACCTTTCTTATACGTTTAAAGTGAAGCCGGTCGGGCCGACAGCACGAGTGCTTTGTAAAATCGGATCTATATTATATTTACGTTGCTCGCAGCATAACGCCCTGGGTTCCCCGCTACGATAATGTATGTACATGTAAAAGACCCTCGTACGTCGGTCACCGTTGATTGCCAAGATAATTTTCGTCGGTCGTTCTTATGCGTTCAAAGTAGAGCTATGCTGGCCGACAGCACGCGTGCTTGGTAAAACCCTATCTATAATATTCACTTTGCTCGTAGAATCACGTCCGGGGTTCCCCGCAATGTCGTAATGGCATGTGACAATGAATGCTAAATCGTCAACCGCTAGCATTCCCTGACGTTTGCTAATGTTGACAAATGCCTGATACGTCTGCTCCTAGCATAGAGATAATAAGAGATTAAATATATAAATGGGTTGCACATGCAATTTTACATTATTTAAGAAAGTACCATATGTGTGTAGCACGCACCGTGACACACACACATGCGTGCGCGCGCGAACACACACTATAGTTATATACAAATATGAAATATTTACATAAGGAAATACCTACGGATGTGTTTTCCACGACACCACAGCCCCAATGATCAAATTTCAAACCGACGAATCTCGATCCGGTTCCCCAAATCCGACAATTAGCGTCGGAATGAAAGCGATCGGCGTACACTTCACCGTAAAATGGGTCGCTGAAGAATAATTCCATCTCAATATTGTCTCATAGACACATTATCTCATTACCTGCAACATATAAGGCGTAAAATAATAATTACCAAATTGCGCATTCACGCTTGTTCCATAGTGCACTAAGATCATCAATCCAATTTGCACAGAAACCTGTCTGAATAGCTTGGAAATACGCAAATGTAGTATATTTGTTTGAAATTAACGCTGTGGATTATCTACGGGCTTGTAACTAATTATGCTACTCAGTTGCTGTCAGCTAGACAGCTTATTAGCTAATCAGCTAGTCAGCTAATCAATCCCCGTATTTGTTCTTTAATCAACCCTATAAAGAGTTTGGGTACCTGCGCCGATATACCTGTTTTCTCACAAATTTGCCACCACGTTCTTTTCCCAAGCATACCGCATTTCTTAGAGTCATCTCTGTGGATACTGCAGTATAAATAACAAATTGTAATAATACAATATTAATCAATACGAGATTAGGCATATCTTGGACAATAAAACCAGCCGAAAACGAGATATTAATTACGTTTACCGTGTAAAACTGTTCACCCCATCGTCTCCTTTCTGATTATGATATATATGTGCATGCGTGCGTGCGTGCGTGTGCGTGCGCGTTCGTGTGTGCGCGCGCGTGACGGGGGTTCGAGACTAGATTTATATCCGAACCCGTGGGTCCCGAACCCAGCTCTCAAGCTGTGTAACACTCAGGGGCGTACCTACGGAGAATAGCGCCTATGGCGAGCACTGAAATTGCGCCCCTGTCCAAACATCTGACATCCATCTTTTAGATAGCTTTACTATAATATACAGGGACTTAGCCAGCTAAAAAGTGTGTGTGGGGAGGGGTTCTTAGTGCTACAGCTGTGGAATTTCATACTATAGAAACATAGGATATGGCGGTTAAGCACGAAGCACCTAAGGGTGTCTGGGCGCCCTCCCCCAGAAACTTTTTGAAAATTTAATGGCTTCAGGTGCGATTTCCCAGCACTTTGAAATAGTATTTTTAGACATCAAATAATGGTTTTTGAGTAACTTTTCACCACATAACTGATTTATGGACCCGATTTCTCGAGAAAAATCAGTTTAAATCCTTAAATCTAGCTGTCATTGATTTGTAAAATGATTTAAACTAATACAAGTCCTTCTTTATACGTTCTTGATGATATATATATTGTAGCGTTTTCGCCGGCTAGCTACAGTTATGTCTCCTTTTCCGGTCGTACCCTTCACACGGGCTTGTTGTCCTAATCCCCCTTCGTCGTCTACACCCGACGTCAGCTCGTAAAGGAAAGGCTTGCCGAAGACGTGAAGTTCAGAAAGAAGGCCGAAGATAGAAGTTGAGTGATAATATGACGGGACAAGCCCGGCTGTTTATTACGG